GGTGGGGGGTGGGGGAGGTTGCAAACAGCCCACGCACTTTTTTTTCCCCCATGTTAATGATAAATTTTGTAAAACTTTAGCTGGTTGAATTGCTGAATTCAACACATTGTCTAGTAGAGAGAGGTGAAGGCCTGCAGGAGAGTAAACAGGGAGAGGTCAAACCTCTCTTACAGGTTCATGCAAGTCTCTAATCAAGAAGCAGTGTTCTGTGTGTTTTGGTTCTGTTTTTATGAACCAAGACTCAGCAAATTCCCCGTCAGCAAATTCCCCACTCCAGCACACGCAGTGCTATGTGGGAGGTCTGCACTTCTACAGGGAATGTCTCCTAAAATTCTCCATTCAAGGCCATTGCTGGGCAGATGTTAGAAATGGTATTCGCAGCCTCAGCATCAGCCTTTTTGGTCATTTTTGTCCCTCTGCACCCAATTTCCTACCCTCTGCAGAATCCAGGCACCCAGACTGAGCAAGTTCTCTCGCTGACGATGGTGGAGCTGGCAGAGAAGCTGAAAGAGGGGTCACTGTCCCCAGAAAGTGTCCTCTACTCCTACATGGGCAAAGTGAGTGATACCCCCAGCATGGGAGAAATGCTGCAGGGCTCTTCTGCAGCGGGGGCTTTCAAACGGAAAAAACAGCTCATTTGCTGAGATAACCAGCAGTGCTGGGGATCACAATTTGTCAATACTGTGATGTCTGAAGGGTGGTTTATGGGCAAATAAGTAGGCGAGAGATCCAAGGCAGAAAAATTATTCCAGCAAGAAACATCTAAAGTTTATAGGTAAGGTCTGAATGATGAATGCTAGCAGTTTGAGGAGATTGAATTTTCAGCCTGAAAACTCAATTTAAATACTGTTTCCTTCCTTCCATCCATTCATCTGTCTTTACTGTTCTTCTCTGTTCTGGAGAGGCTTTGGAGGTGACCCGGGAGGTGAACTGCGTGGTAGACTTCATTCATGGCTGTGAAGATCAGCTCGAGAAACTGAAGAAGCAGAAGGAGAAGGGGCTGCTCTATGGCATTCCCATCAGCATCAAGGACCACATTAACTGCAAGGTACATCCCTAATTCCCTTGCCTCTTGGCCTGGGGCTGGGAACAGCCCAGGATGTCCCATCATCATCAAGACTGGCTAAGAGTTCCCTCTTACCAAATATTGTGGGACCAGCAAACCTGCCTTTCCTCTGATTATTTTTTTTTTCCTGCAGAAATTTCTAAGTTGCTCTGATCTGGTTTTCCCTGGGGTAGTCAGGTCCTGGTCTGCCTGTGAGAAAAGTTAGGTGGGAACTTTGTCACAGGACCCATCAGGACTTATGTTTTTTATTGTCACAGCTCCAAGCAGCATATTCCCTGGTACCTAAAGAGCTTTACTTCCCATCCCCAAGGGCCACGTCTCCTCTGCAGGGATGGTGAAGTTTCTGGGCCAAGTGAAGGAAGAAGACAGTGTCATTGTCCAGGTTCTGAAGAGCCAGGGGGCAATCCCCTTCGTGAAAACCAACATCCCACAGACAATGATAAAGTAATCATGTGTTTGCCTTCATGAAAGCTCTATGAGATGTGACTCTTGCTATCTGAGAGAGGGTGGGCCCGCATGCACAAGCGCCCACCCTTGTCCAAGCCAATCATGCATGTTGAGTTAATTGCCTCCTCAGTTCAATCTGAAATTATTTCTCTTATATTTGATGCCTCTTTCTTCTTAAATCCAGCTGTCCCACCAAATCTACTTCATACTGATTCTTCCTGCTGGCATTAATTCTGCACTCATCCCTGCATGGATGCTCTGTGCCCTGTATTTATGGTTTGCAGATACAGAAGAACCTCACTCACCTGCCGATCTTACTCTCCTCAGCTACGACTGCAGCAACCTCATCTTTGGCCAGACGCTGAACCCTCTCAACCACCAGAAGAGCCCCGGGGGCTCCTCGGGAGGGGAGGGAGCCCTGATTGCAGGGGGAGGCTCCGTCCGGGGCATCGGCTCAGATATAGCTGGCAGCACCCGCCTGCCGTCCAGCTTCTGCGGGCTGTGCGGGCTCAAACCCACAGGCAACAGGATCAGGTACATCCCAACATCTATTCTCTTCTTCCACTCACCATAAAGGCTGCAAAGTGTCCCCCACAGTGCATCAAACTTCACAGTAGTGTCCGTGGTTTCCGACAGGTTTCAGTTAGCACCCTAACCTGCCGGTTTCCTTGTGTCAGCTGGGGCTAAGGACTCTATTAATGACCTGTGGTGATCTCCATCTGTTAACACTGCAAAGACTTATTCTACTTTTAATAGCCCTGGCCAGGATTCTGAAAGCAAACACTACAGAGTCATCTCCTTTCCAGATGTTTTCCAGTCCTTGTTTTGCTTGTAAGAGTTTTCTGTTTATCAGAGGTGGTTTGTTCACAGACGAGGAATTAGATGCACCAGGGAAAAGAGATGATAAAAACTGCCTCTAGCCCCTAGCAGCTTACAGCCCATGGAAGCCGTCTTAGCCTAGAAAATGCCAAGTCTTTGCAGGACCTTTTTCCCTCCTAGATGTTGACTGGGGGTAAATGGAAAGTCTGCAACTTACTTTACAGCAAGAGCTGCTACTAATCTGCTTCTCCCATTATGTTCCTAGCAAACTGGGTGTGGTTTCTCCTATCATAGGAATGAAATCAGGTAAGTCCAGCCAGATAATATATTACTACTGTCAAACCTTTGCTTGTTACAT